CCAGGGCTCAGGCCTTCCCGCCTCGGATCCCGTCACTCCCCCACCTCAGCCGTCCCACCCCCACCAGCTAGGCCCCGCCCACGGCGGCCCCAGGCCCCGCCTCCTGACCCCACCTGGGAGCGGGGAGGTCATCGCCCGCTGGTCCCGGGAGGCCTCACCTGGTCGTGGTGCACTTCGTGCAAGTTGACCACGTTGGGGTGCGTCTGGCACAGCCGCAGGGCGGCCACCTCGCGCTGCGTGTTCGCCTCCAGCCTGGGGGTCGGGAAGCGGGGCTCGGTGCGGCCCTGCCCCGCGGGTGCCCCGCACCCCGGCCCCCTCCTCGCTCCCGCCTCCCCCCCACCTGCGGCTGAGGATCTTCACCGCGAACTCCTGGCCGCTCTGGCGCTGGCGACAGCGACGACACACGGAGAAGCTGCCCTGGCCCAGCGCGGGCTCCCGCAGGTCCAGCTCGTACTGCTGGAAGAAGGGCGAGTCCTGGGGGCGCAAGGGGGCGCGGCCGTCAGCGGTCCCCCTCGCCGGGCCGCGCGGCTGCACCCCAAGCCACTCCGCGGGAGCCCCGTGGTCTAGGCCAGATTCCCTGGGCCTAGACTCCCACCCATGGCGCACACAAGCTCAAGGTCCGGCTCCCAAACCCAGCCCGGTCCACCTGCATCATGGCGCTCCTGGCTACGGCGGCCCGGCCCGGCCGGTCTCCAGCGCCCGGCGCCTCGAGCGCATCGGTCATCACGGCGTTGCTGTGGTCGAATAGGATGGAGGGTGCCACGAAGGAGTAACCCTGCAGGGGTGAGAACGGAGGGGGGCGCACGTAACACGGAGGCTGGGGTGCAAGGCCCGGGTCTGCAGGCAGGGCCGGCAGGGGGAAGACCCCGTAGAGAGCAAAGGGCAGTGTTTCCCCCGGACCTCCCACGTGTGGGCACCTCGTGTTATAACCACTCGGACTCGTGTTTGTCCCCCAGTAGTCTATGACCTCTCCTTTCTCAAGTGAGTGACTTCCCAAGGGCCTGTCACAGAGACTTGGCGATTGGTGGGAAGTGAATGAAAGGCCTACAACTGTGTCTGACACACCTAGTCTAGGAGAACTCAATCGGATCTGCCTAGGAGGGGAAAAGCTATGCCCCCCCCCTCCCCCGCAAGGCAAAGCAGCAAGGCAGAGCTGCAGGGAAATGCAAAATGACACTAGGGCCCAGTGATACAGCATTGGAGGCCCTGGGTTCCCTCCCCAGCACCTGGGAAAAAAAGAAAAGGAACTTACATTTCAAATACTCTCAAAGTGTCATTTTTACTACAGGGATTTTGTGTGTGTGTGCTGGTTCTGGAGTTTGGACACAGTCTGGTGCTCTCCCTTAGCTTTTTCACCAAGGCTAGCACTTTACCACTTGAACAACAGCTCCACTGTTGCTTTTTTTTTTTTTTTTT